GTGGAGGACGTTGCTTCACTGGCCCAAGTTGGCACCATCATTGCGCTCTTCCCGGGCGAGGCAGATCAGTCGCCGGCTTCTGGACTGTCGCTCACGCTGGCTGCTGGCTACACACGGTAGCTCATGGCAACCCACTGCAGCAGTGGCTGCAGCCTACCCAGTCGCCAGTGACTCACGGCAGCCCAGCTCCAGGTTGAGCTGTTGTTCAGCATCTTAGCTGTAGAGGGCAGTGTCACTGGTCCTCATATGTGGGATCCAAACCGGGGCCCTCTGGCATCCCAAGCCAGCTCTTAACCACTGTGCCACTCTGCCAGCCCTGATTATGTTTAATAGATCACTCTTTGACTGCTGTGTGGAGAATGGCGTGGAGGTGGGTTAAGAGAGGCAGCAAGGAGACCAAGTTGGAAGACTCTCATAAAGATCCAGGAGAAAAATGATGGTGGCTTGGGCCAGGGCAGAATCAGAGGGCATGCAGAAAAGTATTGGGTTGTCAGAAAAGGCATGACATATTTTTTCTATGTTTTTCCTTGCAAAAATGCATCATAACTTTTCTGACAACCCAATAGAAGGATTGGAGAAATATGTTGGAGGCAGTAATTAATTGTATGGTGTGGGTTTGGAAGGAGGAGGAATCCAGAATGATGTGTCAGATAGGTAGACGATGGGACCTTGTTCTGTAATGTTTAAAAACTGTATGAGAAATGAATGGGTTTGGGTGGTTGAATAGAGGGAATTAAGAATTCCGGGCCGGCCGCATGGCGCATTGGTTAAGAGTTGGCTTGGGACGCCAGCTCTGAGCAGCAGGGCTCCGGTTCGGATCCCACATTAGGGCCAGTGACGCTGTGCCGTCTACAGCTAAGATGGCGAACAACAGCTCAACCTGGAGCTGGGCTTCTGTGAGTTGCCGGCGACAGCATAGGCTGCAGTGGGGCTGGCCGGCAGTGTGAGCTTTCATGAGCTGCCGTGTGCCGCCGTAAGTGGCTGTCCAATGGTTGGCGAGCAACTGCCTCACCCGGGAAAAGCGTAATGATAATACCAATATGGGCCAGTGAAGCAACGTTCTCCACAACTAAAGAACAAAAGGACAGCAAGTTGTCTGTTCTCCTTTCCCGATTCCCCAAAGCTATTCCCCTCCCCCAATTCCCCAATAAAAAATCTTAAAAAAAAAAAAGATTTCTGCTTAGTCTATAGCCATTCCACCCTGAACACACCTGATCTCAGAAGAATTCTGCTTATTCTGAGATGACTCCGAGAGGGCAAGGAGACAGTTGGAGCTCATCAGAGAGCCCTGACTGGAGATCTAAATCTTGCAATTTTTTAAAAAAGATTTTTATTGGGGAATTGGGGGGATGGGAACAGTACTGGGGAATTGGGGAAAGGGGAACAGACAAGTTGCTGTCGTTTCGTTCTTCAGTCT